GCTTTCAACACATCAACTTCAGGGACAACATGTTCACTTGCTGCCTAATATTTCCCACCCACTTTCAGGTGCCATTGTAATGAGATAATCAATGTTATTGACTTTATATGTCGGTGGTCAGAGTGTTATGGCTGATTGTCGTATGTTTTGATATCAGCATCCTGCAATCTGCTGCACAGCATCAATCAGAGGGATTGCAGGAGGGATGGGCACCACAAGCTGCCAGTGATGCTTTGCCATAGCGTAGATATGAACATGCTGACAGGAGGAGAAATCAAAGTGTGCAGGTGCTGTTCCCTCAATGCCCAATCTGCAGGCTAGGGTTGTGTCCTTTACCAAGCTGTGCTGCTGCAGTTGAGGTTGGGGATCTGGCACTGGTGTCTGGCAGAGATGTCTGTACCACAAAACTGGCTGAACAGAGTTATAAATCCATTGGCAGCTAGCGTTTACTACAAACATGTATTTAGCTGCTAGGCTGGAATTCAGCTTTCAGCAAAATGTTAGGTGGGAGAACAGAAAGATGAAAGCCACACCATTGGGAGACACAAATTATCAGCAAGTAATGCACCGGTGAAGCTGTGGAAGTACAGCTTGCGTTACCTATCTCAGGCTTGTCCAGAAGACTAAGGAGGATTCGGAAAGGCTTCAGATAAACCTGCAGACCTTGTTCAGAATCTGAGTACAGGATATTCTGGTGTAATATCTGCAAAAGTGCCTGGAGGAAAAAATATGTTGAATTGTTATCACCTTTTATTTATATAGTGTCAGAATTTTCAGCACTGTTTTACAACAGAAATATGTTGTTAAAGTGGAACTCCAGTAAATTATATAGAACATTTCTTCATTCCACACCCGACACTTTTTAAAATTAATTACAAATGTTTAAATTCTCTTCATACATGCCTAAAGGGTTAGTTTACCTTTACGAGAAAACTGCTTATGCAGGTAAGGGGAGTCTGTAGATAAAAAACTAATTGTGCAGCTTTTATCGAAGTTCATGATGACTTATCTATAGATATAGGTCATTTACGGATCTCCCGAAGCTTGAGTGAAAAACTCCCAAAAATAATATTATTGCATCCTGCTTTGTTGCTAGGACATTGCTAAGACACTTCCAGCTGTTACTACTCACCCCATCATCACAGGAGTGAGCTCTCAAATGCTGATCTCAAAACTACTGCATCAGGGGAGAGAAAGTGCATGTGAGGGGTTTTGAATCAGAGGAAGAGCTCACTCCTATGAAGGTCCAAGTTGCAAATTTTTTTTCCTTACCTACAGACACCCCTAGCCTGCATAGGCAGCTTTTTTGGTAAAGGTGAACCATGCCTTTAAACAAAGGAGACACCTCTCTTCTCCCTGTGGGGGACACTCTCCAACTACAGAGGGTCGATGACAATCTGACACCATTGGCTCTCTGCAGTCTTGTATTGTAAGCCCAGGCTGATGTGGTTGATGTGGTGACAAACCCCAAGGGTGTGTTCATGACAGCCTGGGCTCACAATAAGTAGGTTGACCAAACATGGCCATTATTCAACGAATGCTGGTTTTCCAGCAACACCGTTCGACAGAAGCTGGTCGTTAAGACCGACTTCTGTTGAATAGCCAGTGGTACTCATGTACCGAAAGTCAGTTGGCTCCTGTTGAAACCGACCGACTTTCAATACACGTGTACCAAGCTTTAGAGCCTACCATCTTCCAGGGAACAGTGAGAGGCACAACCTTGAGATGAAGAGTCAGCAATAACGATCCAAAATTTAAAGGATTTTCTTATAACAGTGCTGAGAAAGGTCATGTGATTATAAAAGGGTTTACTGTCTTAAGCAGAAGTTGGTTTGACAAAAAACACTGGTAAGGTTTACTTCAATAGCTGCAAAGCAGGAGCATGTTCGGATCTGTACTAAAATAATAATATATAGTGCAGCGCTGGTGTATTAATTAAAAATGAACATGCTAAAATGAATACAAATAAAATAGCTCATAAAGTCCTTCCACAATTAAGTGACCATAGGTGTATGAAGGTCTTCCTCCTTATTAAGGTGACTGGTATCAGGTAGAAAAAATGCGCACTCACCGACCGCACATTTTAAATGCGCCTGTGTACACTCTTATGCGGATAACCAGCCAGACATGCAGATCCTAAGGACACATGGACCATCCCTCTCAAATACTGACATCGGCCTTGGGTGCAGTACTATACCTCCAGGTACAAAGGGCCCTTTTGTTCCAAACGATAAGCAGGCAGGGGTCCCCCTCCTGGTCCCAGGTACTCCAGAAGTGGTAGATGCAGATCTGAAACCCTCCAAAAAGAGGGTCAAGAAAGAGGGAATGCCAATAGTGTAGTAGGTTCAAGAACTTTATTGGGTCAACAGTAATTAGGCCAGGGTCGCATGTGCACACAAATACCGTTAGCCGTCAAGCAGACTGGTAAATATGAAAATAAACATGTACTAACCCGGCAAAGATCAAAGACCACCGGACCTCCTCGTGGTCCCAGTGGTTAGGAAGTCACACTTGCTACTGGCTCCTCCTGAGGCCTTTCGTGCCACAGCACTTCATCAGAGGGTTGGATGCCATTAGCAGTGTGACAGAGAACTTCCTTATTTAAATGCGGTTCGCGCATGCGCGAAAATCCCGCTCTATCGCTCAAAATCTAAAAAATCTAAAAAGGGATAATTTATGATGCCAATGGAATAATGATATTTCTATCTATATTTTTATCTATATTTTTATCTATATTTTATATCTTATATTTTAATATATATTCCCTGAAATACCTGTGTTTTTCGGGGCTTTTTGGACATATAGTGGCCCGTTTAACATGGAGCTTCTATGTATACATATGGGTACCGGCTTAGCCCCTATGCCATGGATACAATTACTGTAACAAGGGATACCTGGCCCTCATAACATAAATAGTGGCCTATATTTTGGCCACCTATTTGGGGGTGGAGGTTCAGAGCGGATGGCATACATCCAGACCTGAGGACTTAGGGTTCTCTGATGGTGCCATTTACCCCTTCTCTGTTACCCTGCACTTATCTGGGTGCGTATATTCTGGCCACCTATTTGGGGGTGGAGGTTCAGAGCGGATGGCATATATCCAGATTGGAGGTTCTCTGATGGTGCCATTTACTTCTCTGTGTCTAATCATGGGGAACCTGCACTTATTTGGGTGCTCCACATGTATTTCTTCCCGACGGTATGCATCCCCCAGACAGCTGCTGCCGTTTTTCTACAGCTCACTGTCTGTTGATCCATGGCAATATGGCGGCGATCGGGCGGCGCATGCGCAGTTCGTTTCTGCACAGCCGCGATCCACGGCAAAATGGCGGCCGTTCGCGCATGCGCGGTCCCATTTTTTAGATTTTGAGCGATAGAGCGGGATTTTCGCGCATGCGCAAACCGCATTTAAATAAGGAAGTTCTCTGTCACACTGCTAATGGCATCCAACCCTCTGATGAAGTGCTGTGGCACGAAAGGCCTCAGGAGGAGCCAGTAGCAAGTGTGACTTCCTAACCACTGGGACCACGAGGAGGTCCGGTGGTCTTTGATCTTTGCCGGGTTAGTACATGTTTATTTTCATATTTACCAGTCTGCTTGATGGCTAACGGTATTTGTGTGTACATGCGACCCTGGCCTAATTACTGTTGACCCAATAAAGTTCTTGAACCTACTACACTATTGGCATTCCCTCTTTCTTGACCCTCTTTTTGGAGGGTTTCAGATCTGCATCTACCACTTCTGGAGTACCTGGGACCAGGAGGGGGACCCCTGCCTGCTTATCGTTTGGAACAAAAGGGCCCTTTGTACCTGGAGGTATAGTACTGCACCCAAGGCCGATGTCAGTATTTGAGAGGGATGGTCCATGTGTCCTTAGGATCTGCATGTCTGGCTGGTTATCCGCATAAGAGTGTACACAGGCGCATTTAAAATGTGCGGTCGGTGAGTGCGCATTTTTTCTACCTGATACCAGTCACCTTAATAAGGAGGAAGACCTTCATACACCTATGGTCACTTAATTGTGGAAGGACTTTATGAGCTATTTTATTTGTATTCATTTTAGCATGTTCATTTTTTTTAATTAATACACCAGCGCTGCACTATATATTATTATTCTTGTTTAAAGGTCCAGTGATTCCTTAGAGTGTTCCAGCAGCTGAACTATGAGCGCTCGCTTTATCCACATGCCATAATTGATCTGTACTAAAGTTTCTATTGTTATTGTAATATACACTATCTTGCCAAAAGTATTGGGCCGCCTGCCTTTACCCGCACATCAACATTAATGGCATCCCAGTCTTAGTCCGTAGGGTTCAATATTGAGTTGGTCCACCCTTTGCAGCTATTACAGCTTCAACTCTTCTGGGAAGGCCGTCCACAAGGTTTAGGAGGGTGTCTATGGGAAGGTTTGACCATTCTTCTAGAAGCACATTTGTGAGGTCAGGCACTGATGTCAGAAGAAAAGAAGGCCTGGCTCTCAGTCTCCACCCTAATTCATCCCGAAGGTGTTCTATCGGGTTGAGCTCAGGACTCTGTGCAGGCCAGTCAAGTTCCTCCACCCTAAACTCGCTCATCCATGTCTTTATGGACCTTGCTTTGTGCACTGGTGTGCAGTCATGTTAGAACAAGAAAGGGCCATCCCCAAACTGTTCCCACAAAGTTGAGACCATGAAATTGTCCAAAATGCCATGGTATGCTGATGCCTTAAGAGTTCCCTTCACTGGAACTAAGAGGTCAAGCCCAACCCCTGAAAAACAACCCCACACCATAATCCCCCCTCCACCAGACTTTACACTTGGCACTATGCTGTCAGGCAAGTACTGTTCTCCTGGCAACAGCCAAACCCAGACACATCCATCGGATTAACAGACAGAAAAGCATGATTGGTCACTCAAGAGAACACGTCTCCACTGCTCTAGAATCCAGGGGTGGCATGCTTTACACCACTGTATCCGACGCTTTGCATTGCATTTGGTGATGTAAGGCTTGGATGCAGCTGCTCAGCCATGGAAACCCATTCCATGAAGCTCTCTACACACTGTTGTGCTAATCTGAAGGTCACATGAAGTTTGGAGGTCTATAGCTATTGACTCTGCAGACAGTTGGTGACTTCTGCACACTGTGCGTTTCAGCATACACTGACCCCGCTCTGTCATTTTACGTGGCCTACCACCTCGTGGCTGAGTTGCTGTTGTTCCCAGTTGCTTCCACTTTGTTATAATACCACTAACAGTTGCCAATAGAATATTAAGTAGCAACAAAATGTCACGGATGGACTTATTGCACAGGTGGCAACCTATCACGGTACCACGCTTGAATTCACCAAGTTCCTGAGAGCGACCCATTCTTTCACAAATATTTGTAGAAGCAGTCTGCATGCCTAGGTGCTTGATTTTGTACACCTGTGGACCTGGAGGTGATTTCAATGATTTGGAGGGGTGTTCCAATAACTTTGGCAATATAGTGTAAATAGTAACTCATCCATGTACATTGCAGGGATTTTAACAAACCCTTTATTGCAGATTCCTACCTTTTGTTTTTTTTTTTCTTTAAGAAATATCTGTTTGTCTGTGTCCATATGAAAAGTGAATCTAATGGGAGTGATTTGATAATTATCAATCAGCTGCTCAACCTGCAGGACTCTAATGAGGAAATTGTTAGAGTCTGCATCTCTTTAGATGAGTATTTCACCAAAAATGTAATTTTTGTTGCAGGGAATGCCCAACATCTGACTTGTATCTTAGTGCAGACTTCTGGGAAAATCAGTCAGCCAATCACACAAGCAGGAAATGACATATCTGCGGAGCGTTCTGTACACCATCTGTGTACAAAACACTTCTAGGTTGCCATATTGCCTTGCATTTTGCAGAAAATTACAGGACTGCTGATTGACAATGAAAGGTCATTTTAAATAATATTCAATTACAATATGACTTGTATAGCCATTGTATATATATTTTTTTTTTCATTTGCAATTTTTTTCCCATGAAAGTGGAGTTACCCTTTAAGTTTCCCAAAGATGGATCAAAATTCAGCCTGTTCTGCAGGGACTGCCCAAACTTTGATCCATCTATGGCTGTTTCCACTTGACAGAAGTTGATCTAACAATCGACTTTTGTTGAACGGGAATGTTGGAAATTTTTCATTCAATTAACAGCTGCAGTGCTGATCAGTGTATTCTGGCAGCAGCAAAGTACCTGCTGTCAGAATACAATAGTACAGAAAGGAGGATTCCTCCACCCATCTCACTTATATGGATAGGCAAATCCTTTCTTTTTTTTCAATCAGCCCTGTGGCTGATAAAAAAAACAAAAAACAAAATAACAATCCATCTACGGCCAACCCTAGAATGGTCTGTTTTTTTGTCAGCAAAACTGGAGTTTCACTTTAAAGTGATTGAAAAGCTTCATTTTTTTAACAGCAAAAATTATATACTTACCTGCTGTGTGCAATGGTATTGAACAGAGAAGCCCTGAACCTCCTCTTCTTGGGTCCCCCGCTGGCATTATCCACTCCTCTTGTCTGTGGGCCCCCATGGGAAGCCACCTGTGGATTTGCTCCTGAGCTGCGATGTCTAGGTCCACAGACACAGACAGCACAGCTCAACCCCACCCCCATGGCTCCCACTTCTGCCTCAGTGAGCAGAAGGAGAAGAGATCACTACTACAAATGGGAACAGTGCTGGATCGAGAAAGGACTCAGGTAAGTATAAAGGGGAGTGAGGGGGCGATACAGATACAGGGACATTTTTAACCTTAATGCAGGAGATGCACGAGAAAAAATGTCCAGCCTTTATAACCACTTTCACTTTAAACCAGAGGAGTTGATGCGAATTTCTGGTCCACAATATGGTCTGAATTCTCTGTAATGAATTTAGAGATGAAATGTTTGAGTAGCTTCAAGTTTACAATGTAGTATATCACCCTTACCTGGACCAATAAGTCTTTTGAGTATTTGGAGAAAAAGCAGGAGACGTATTCTTCTTCTCCCACAGAGGCCTTTAGTTCTGGAGCTACTACTCCGCCTTTAATATCTGACCCTAAAATGGTGAACACCGTAAATAATTATCTAATAACATCAGAAGCCAGTCCACAATTTGGCCTTTATCCACAAATTCCATACAGCAATTATGTAACCCCCTTCAGCCAATCATATAACAATATATCGTATCACATAGAGTATATCGCCATACCCCAGATGCCAGGGCTGGGTTGAGGAGTATTATTATTATCACATCGAGTTTATATAGCGCCAAAGGGTTTGCTCAGCGCTGTACAATAGAGGGGGGGACAATACATGAAACAGTACAGCAACAACAAACAGCACACGAGGGGTTAGAGGGCCCTACTCTTTCGAGTTTACAATCTAGGAGGGAGGGGGTAGTGGTACAGGAGGAAGTGGCTGTGGGGGATGGAGTGGTAGGAGGAATGAAGGAGAACGTCTGTTAGGTGAGGGTGGGGTAGGCTTCCCTGAAGAGGAGGGTTTTCAGGGAGCGCCTGAAGGTGAGGAGGGAAGGTGACAGTCTGATGGATTGGGGTAGTGAGTACCAGAGGATGGGGGAGGACCTGGAGAAGTCTTGCAGTCGTGCGTGGGAGGAGTAGGCAGTAGAAATGGCTGCCTTGGGCACTTCAGGGGGTGGGGACAGGGAGGGTGTCAGAAAGGGCCTATGCTACTGAAGTGAGAATTCTTGGAGGGAAGGGAAAGGAAGGGGGTGTTGAAGTGCACATTTAGCCTTTTCGCATTGGGTGCTAAAGGGATCTCGTCCTGACACTGCCAGATATGCTCCAGTAGTTCCAATATAATATGATTGGGGGGAATACGACAAAAGTACTGGACCAGGATCATACATTTTTAAACTTATGGTTAATATCTTTACTGTTTATATAAAATGTACCAAAATGTTTAATTCACAAATAAATATTGCTTAGAGGATCCACTCATAACACTAGTGTCAAAAAGCACTAAGGAAGGCACAGCAGAAGGCGTTTCGCTCAGACTTTTGCTCTCTGGTTGGAAATCTGAAGTGTAACCCTCCAAACAGAGTAGGCAGGAAGGGGGAGGAGTCTATGCTCTTGTGTGAGTTATAGCTTTTAAAGTGTTACTAAACCCCGGACCCTGCATTCACTATATCTGGTCTCCTCGGACCCTGCATTCACTATATCTGGTCTCCCCAGACCCTGCAGTCACTATATCTTGTCTCCCCGGACCCTGCATTCACTATATCTGGTCTCCCAGGACCCTGCATTCACTATATCTGGTCTCCCAGGACCCTGCATTCACTATATCTGGTCTCCCAGGACCCCGCAGTCACTATATCTGGTCTCCCAGGACCCCGCATTCACTATATCTGGTCTCCCCGGACCCCGCATTCACTATATCTGGTCTCCCCGGACCCCACATTCACTATATCTGGTCTCCCAGGACCCTGCATTCACTATATCTGGTCTCCCCGGACCCCGCATTCACTATATCTGGTCTCCCCGGACCCTGCATTCACTATATCCGGTCTCCCTGGACCCTGCATTCACTATATCTGGTCTCCCCAGACCCTGCATTCACTATATCTGGTCTCCCCGGACCCTGCATTCACTATATCCGGTCTCCCTGGACCCTGCATTCACTATATCCGGTCTCCCCGGACCCTGCATTCACTATATCTGGTCTCCCCGGACCCTGCATTCACTATATCTGGTCTCCCACAGTACACACAACATGGAAATGCAATTATTTTAGTAAATGCAAACGGCCAAATACCTTTTCTCATCAGTAGTATATACCAGTCTTATGACTTCTATCAGTGTTCAGCTGAGCACTAGTTAAAGCTTGTAGGAGGAGTTTTATCATTCTCCTCTGACTGTCCTATGAGGCTGCATAACCCCTGACCATCTGTCTGGACAGTGCTGATTCGCCCTGTGCTGATCACAGGCACCCTCCCAAAGAAAAAAATCTCTTTACCCATACACACTAAACTGAACATGTGCAGAGTGACTCCTAGAGCTCTGAATTAGGGACAGGAGAAGAAGGGGAGGATCAGAGAAGGCAGGATCAAACAGCCTTTTTACACAACATGAAGGATTAACTCCTTAGGCTCCACAGCGAGCATAACAAGCATGCTTTACTGCATAAACAGACTGATTTTACTGTTAAAGTAACACTTTAAGCTCTATAAACAACAAGTTGTTTTGTTGTTGTGGAAGTAAACATGAAATGGAGCCCATAGCGCCACCTTCTGGTTGAGAGTATTAGTATAAAGCATTACTTATTAATTAATGAATTTAAAAATATATATATTTTTAAACTAAAACACTATACAATAAAACAAAGAAATTTCTTTAACCACTTGAGCCCCAGAGGATTTACCCCCCTTAATGACCAGGCCTTTTTTTGCTGTTTGGCGCTGCACTAATTCAAATGATAATTGCGCGGTCATGCAATGCTATACCCAAACAAAATTTACGTCCTTTTTTTCACACAAATAGAGCTTTCTTTTGGTGGTATTTGATCACCTGTGCGCTTTTTATTTTTTGCGCTATAAACAAAAAAACCACGAAAATTTTGAAAAAAAAAAAAAAACAATATTTTCTACTTTCAGCTATAAAAAATATATCGTAAACTCAAAGTTAGTCATAAATTTAAGCCAAAATGTATTCTGCTCCATGTTTTTGGTAAAAAAAATCCCAATAAGTGTATATTGATTGCTTTGTGTGAAAGTTATAGCGTCTACAAACTATGGTATAGATACTGTAATTTATGCCTTTTTTTGCTATACAGCGCTGCACTAACTCAAATGATAATTGCGCGGTCATGCAATGCTGCACCCAAACGAAAATTACGTCCTTTTTTTCACACAAATAGAGCTTTCTTTTGGTGGTATTTGATCACCTGTGCGCTTTTTATTTTTTGCGCTATAAACAAAAAAACCACAAAAATTTTGAAAAAAAAAAAAACAATATTTTCTACTTTCAGCTATAAAAAAATATATCGTAAACTCAAAGTTAGTCATAAATTTAAGCCAAAATGTATTCTGCTACATGTTTTTGGTAAAAAAAATCCCGTGCATTAGCGGGCAAACTGGCGCTATCTAGGAGGGGCGCTAACACTATCGGAAGTCACCAGTGACACTAATACAGTGATCAGTAAAAATCTGTTCACTGTAATCAATGACACTGGTGACAGGGCAGTGAAGGGGTTAACTGGGGGGGGGCGATCAAGGGGTTAAATGGGATTTCTGGTGCACTAGCGGGAAAACTGGCGCTATCTGGGAGGGGCGCTAACACTATCGTAAGTCGCCAGCGACACTGATACAGTGATCAGTAAAAATTGGTTCACTGATCAGTGACACTGGTGACAGGGCAGTGAAGGGGTTAACTGGAGGGGG